TTTCTGTTTGTTTGATCTTGAATACGTCGGATTTTCTTGTAGAAATCTTAATGGCACCGGTGTGTGCCTTTATAAAAGAATCTGCCAGCATGGCAAATGAATCTACTGAATTCGGGGCTAGGTTGTGATACCACATCATGCCCCCCTTGAAAGTGTTTCTCCGAATTTCTTCAATAGGACGGATTCAATCTTATCATCCTTCAGGTCATTCCCCTTTACAACGCAAGTGTAAGCAGTAATGTGCTCGTTGGGGTCCGACGTTCCTATTTACTACGGGATATCAGGCATTCCGAATTTCTTCGGTATGGGCTTTGGAGCGTCGTTTGACGGGAAGGGCTTTTGTACACATTTCTTTGAATCTACACCCTTTAGGATCAGGGGTGCGCCTGGGATCTGATCAACCCTTGAATTGTAGGTCTCTACCTTTTTATCATTAGCTTCTATCTTCTTTTCGCCTGATTCAATCCTCTTCGTGAGGTCCTCGAGCATCTTTATGATTGCGGGATCGGCTGCTGACCCGTTGTCACTTGATCTTTCTGGTACTTGTTCGGCTCGAGGAGCCGTTTTCGGTGCTGCTGTGCTCGGAGTTTTTTGGTGGCTTTGCAGTTGAGCAATCGCCAGCTGTTGTGCCTGCAATATCTCAAAAATAACGTGAAGGTTGATCTCTCGTTCCTCCCGAGCTGGGGTTTTCTAAGCTTCTTGTTGATTCTCTTGGCGTATACTCCTGTCAGCGTGGGAGATTATATTGACGTGTTGGGCTTTGCGCGAGACCACGTCCACGGGAATTGGTTCTGGTGCGTCCTCAAGGTTTCGCGGTGGTACACCGACACCTGAAACAGCTACACCATTCTCTCCATGGTCCTCAGGACCGCTGTTCTCATGTGCATTCACTGAGTTTGACATTTTGACCTAAAATCAAAGATTCTTGGACAAGAAAAAGCGTGAAAGATAACTTGCGTTATGTAGTAAACCAGCAAGAAAACAATCACTATTATTTTTAGCCCCATGGTGGACGCCAAACTGTTTACCATGAAAATGGTAATTACAATTAGATTTGATTTTATGGTTCCAAAAATACGTGATTTATTTTAATGCTAGTTGTTAGACAGTAGATGCTAAGTGTGAAACTAGAAAATAAGAGAAAAGCTTGAAGGCAGTGTGTTCAAACAAACCGAGTGGCTGAGAATCGGGGCCTCGGGTCGAGCTATACGTTAGGCTGTGGACAGTCGACGGAGAACGAACAGTTCTAAGGGTCTTGATGAGGGCTCTTTATGATCAATAATGAGTAATAAATGAACAACAATCAATGAAATACAATAAATGTAAATAATAAGATCAAAGGAGAATATGTTTAAGTTAGAGAGCTGAGAATGTTCTTGTTCTTGTGTTTAATGTTGTGTGCTATCTCTCTTACAAAATGACAAGGATCCCCTTAATATATGAGGGGAAATCCCAACACGCTACAGATGCATTTATTACAAAGATACGCGGCTGATAAAGCCATTTAATGCCATGGTACGGGCTTGTACTAGCCTAATAGAATTGGTCAGCTTGAATCACGTGCCTTGGGAACTTCCTGTTTTGCCATCATGGCCATCGATTTGTACTGCCCCGAGGTCGAACATTGAGAATCCTCGGGGCCGAACCTCGAGCCACGCCTTGAGCCTTTGGAGACGTGCTTACGAAGCGTCATAAAATCGGACCGTCTGATTTTTACCATATACAACTATAGACTCTATAATGCTGTCATCTTTTTTATCTACCGTTGTCATCCATGTATCACATCTTACTCATAATGCTTCATTAACTCTCTTCTTATCTCCCTGCTAATATTTCTATCTATCACCTTATTCTGAAAACTTCAACAAGATATTCTTTTCTTTTAGCTCCCCTTTGCTCCATCCACTGGCTCTTCGGGTTGCCTAACTTTCTCTCCCTACTATGGACGGGAGGTAATATTTATCCCTTCCATGCTTACAGCTCCTATCTTTGTAGTACTCATATCTAGTTGTATTATTTTAGAGTGCACCATCTAGGGGTCTCACAAGGAGATCTATTAGTACATTTGCAATATCCTTCGGAAATGTCAACTAACGCAAACAATCCATCCACCATTTTCGATCACTTTAACCCCAACCAGATCCTGATATCTGTCCTTCTCTTATACTACTTCTGTTAGCTTCCATAGGGCATAAATGAGATGGGTGTGGACAATTGTACATACCTCTGTTACAATTGAAGGTAACTCAAAATGCTTATATTTCTCTGCTTGAATTGTAAATACTGTTAATCTTCATTAACTGGGTACCTCGTACCCTTCTTCACCTTGCTTCTTTTACTTGTTGAAACTTGTGTCTGCCTTCTGATTCTCTTATTCCTTTTTACCGTAAGAGTGGATAGGCATTCTTGCCTTAGGGTCCTTATCAAGAAGCTTACACATCTTAGTATACACATGATCTGCTGAATACTTCATATTTCGAGTTCCTCTGACTCAACTCTTCCACAGCTATATCTCTTACCAACTGTCTTTCTAGATGTAGGCATCATCGTATTATGAATAAGATAGAGTTTAGGAAATTCAGTTCTTACAACTGATCTCTACCACACGATCTAGAGTAAGAAGAATGAGTGACAGTCCTAAATGCCCTATAGCCTCGTGCTTATAAGTGTGGTGCACGACACACCCATAAACAAGACTCTACTAGACGCGGCTTGTAGACTCAATATCACTTCTGTCACGACCCAAACCAATGGGCCGCGACGGGCATCCGGTACCTTACTCAACGGAGTACCAACATAACGTATCTGTCGTATCATACTATTATAGGTAAATGAGCTGGAGAGGCAGTCGTGAGATAGTGGAATAAACATGAGAGAATACTTGGCATAGAACGACCCAGCCTGATATAAAAACTTACATACGTGACATATGGGCCTACAAGGCCATACAAGTATCTGTATACATGATATCTATCTACAAGCCTCTAAGAGTACATAAGTATCACAAAGGTTGGGATTGGGCCCCGCAATACATGTCCTAATTATACTGATTAAATAAGCAACTCCGGAGCAAATGGAGCACACCAACACCTTTCGCTGAGCTGATGGCCTACTTGGAGGACTCTCAACCTGTCTATCGAAACCTGCGGGCATGAAACGCAGCGTCTCCGTGCAAAGGGATGTCCGTACAAATAATGTACTGAGCATGTAAGGAATGAAAATCAGTAAACAATAGACATGAGAGAAACATGGAGTAAAAGACAACATGTAAGTCTGGATAACTCCTTAAATCATGAAATACTTATAGTGTCATGCATATACGTATGAATGTCATGTTGTGCATAAGTACATGTGTTCATAACATCATCAAGCCTATCATCTCAGCCACTATGGGAAAAATCATCAACGTATACCAGCTGATCAGGTGGTGGTGCGCATATAACGACGTAACCTTTTCCCATATTCTATATACATATAATATACATATATACCCGTATATAATGCCATATGGTCATGGGTCAATGTACATGTATAAATGAATGCAATGCATGATAAGTACGTCAGTAAAATCTCTCGGAATGTCATAAGACCACTATGCCTTTAAGTAATATCATGAAATAAACTTTTTCAACTTACGTATTTTCTGAGACCCTTGAACAGAAGATGTAATAATAAGACACATGGGAATTCAAGAACATAGGGGCCTCTAATACTTCTATGAATAGAGTCATTTATGTAAGTTGTGCATTTACTCGTTTCGTTTATATCGTATAGATCATGCCAAAAGGAAAGAAGGGATAGCCTTAACATACCTGGACCGATTCTCTCGGCGATTCCTCTAACACGCGTCTTTTGGGACGAAACACGTAACGGCAAGATCGTATCGGAAAATATCCGTATGATATTCTTAAGAAAGATTGCACTATACTCCCTTAGAATCGCAATTCTCACGTTGCTAAGCATTGTAAGGAATCATATAAATCTTTGAATTCCATCTGTTACTTTGTACTCTTGTATGAACTTGATGAAGTAACTCACGTTATTATTTAAAAATAGGATCTTTGCTTGAAGCATTGTAAAGGATTCATTATGATTTCTTGTTTGAGAAATACTTAGCAAGCCAATCTTTCTTACTTCATAATGTAAGAAAGGCTTTTAAGATTATGGGTTGAAGGCCCCGCATCCTTTGTGATGACTAAGCCACCAAGCTCTTTAGATGTGCCACCTTACTTTGTGAACTAAAGAGTCATATTTGAGCTTTAATTAAGGCTCCTTGGCGGCCACGTTAGCAGTTTCTCAAATTTATTCAAAATAATTCACCCCTTTCCTTAATTAACTTATTAATTCCCCACTAATCTAATAATTAACCAATTACCCACATAATTAAGAATTATCTCAAATTACTTAAAATGCTACTATATACACTTTACTATCATGGTCATGCGGTACCTTGTATGGCACTAGTCCATAATTACCGCTTATTATAGCTCGGACCGTATTTTATCCCAAAATGACAAACTTCGACGAAACTCGCTGTCTTCGATTCCATTCACTTACCCTCTCAACTTCACGAATTTGCTTACCACTTGCTTGAAATACAACATACTGATAATCTCAAAATAGTCTCATTCCCGAGCTTACGCTGATTGCCTTACGATGAAACTTTAACGTTCGAAAATGCGGGATGTAACATCTCATTTCCGAACTTTCATCAATTTACTTATGTCGACTCTCAGTACGAAAAAATGGGGTGTGACAAATTTATCTTCTAAAAGGAATAAAAGTCTACTAATATCTTAGAAATATTTTGGTCGTTCGACATTTAGTTTGAAATATTCATGATTTTATAATAAATATAGATATAGATTATCGGTGAAAAGCTATTTCATGTCATACTGTAATATATGAAAAGAACCCCTCCCTCCCAATCCCATGGAAGCCCCTTTTCTCATCTTTTCCTATTGGTAATTACATTCCTTAAGAGAGGGCGAAAGGAAAAAGAAAAAGAATGGAGATGTAATCTGAATCAAGAACACAGCCAAATTCATGCATTACACCAAACACAAATATACACCTTACACTACTTTGTGCCACACATTTCACTTCAAAAATACAACGAGATCATCGAACTTCACTTGGGGAAAGAAGCTGCCAAAACATTAACAACATCCTCTGCCGTCTACTCTATTGGAAAATCCAGGACCTCTTTTAGAGGTCCGCTTGCAAATTTGAGATTAGAGGAATGGGTATACAAGGGAGATTAACCTAATCTAAGAGCCATTTGGCGGAGTAGTCCAAAACTAAGCAGCAGAGGGAGCAGTCACGTATTTGACCGCGTCAGCCTGGGCCATAGCAGCAGCAATCAGCGGTTGCAGCTGGTTCACTGCTTCAGCTGCATCAGCTATCACCTGGTTATTAACAGCAACCGCATTCTTGTAGTCCAATGATTCGTCCTTGTAAATGTCCCACCACTTCTTCACCAGTAATTTTATGTCCTCCCTTTGCATATTTTCTTCTTCCCCTGTGTATCTCCATGGCTTTGATCCCTGCTCCATCACTTAAAAAATCAGCACTAGTGCTCTTTCCCACGTACAAAAATACTAACAATAAGAATTGGAAAGTGTAGTTACTCACCGCTGCACAATAGTGTACAACTTTCACTTTATCCAATTCAACATTCTCGGGATGGCGCCATAACATTGCTAGAACAAGATTGTAAACTAAAGGTATTGGTCTGTAAATGTCCTTGAAATACATATTCAAGAAGTCCTGCGATAACAATATCAACCAAAATTAGCTCAATCAACTACCTTATTAATCAAGAAAAAGTCTTTAATTACCGATAAAAAGTAGAGTACAACACTAAATTGTACCTGCTCTGCAAAAGGAGTAGAAGGAGTAATCTGAAGAGTCTTCAAAAGGTCATCATAAATATGAAGGCTGGGCTCAAACACAAACATCCCAGCGTTGAAATAAAGGGAAGGAGGAGGACCCAATTCCTCAGTAGGCCATTTGACCTTGTCCGGACACTGCTGGCAGTAGCCAATCTTGTATTGAGGAGTGTGACTCCATGTCTTCTCACAGAAACAGTCCATGACTGCGTAGAAATAACCATCTGGCAAATCAAAGAGGTGATCTATGTTGTCATACACCTGAATGTCACCGTCTAGGTATATCATATTCTTGTACTCCACAAACTGCATCCACATAATGTTAAATATATCAATCAACTAACTATGCTTCAATCCCAAATTTAATACTAATTGGGATTAACCGCGCGTATACTTAAAATACACTCTAATACTCTTATCACATTTAATCCAGATATATACTACATAATTTTTCTTTTTGTTTAAAGAAATAGATCTTCAGCAATTAAACTAACGTACGTACATTGTATAAACAATAAATCTTTAATTAATGAAACCTAAATAGTAACCCCTACAAACATCAGAATTAACGTAAACGTAAAGCACCACATAAATTATATGTCCAATTAGTCAGAATCACATGTCGTAAATAAAATATTAGCAGGAATCACATATATAATGCGTCAAAAATCGTCATTTAGTTGAATCAAATACTCCGTTCAACACATGATATCTGGTACATATAGAAGAAGACTAATGGGGTCATCCACGTGTAATGATATATGTGACGTAGTAACACTAGAAATGTGACGTGTAAGTGCAAATGTGACTTAACAACTGGAAACTTGACACGTGTCAAGAAACATGGATCCTTTACCTCCCAAATACGAAGCTTAGAGTAATTTATGACGTAATAAGCCATGGCGAATTGAGTTTGGTTCTCAGGTGGGTAAACGGGCTCAATCTCCCTGATGATACAACCTTGCTCCTCCAGTATACGGCGGTGCTCCGCCGGCACATCCGGCAGAACCGCCACCACCAGCGGGTACGCCGATTTGACCTTTCTTAGCCCCTTAGCTAACCCAACTACACCCTTCACGTAATCACCATTACCAGCCAAAAACGTCACGTAGGCCCTCTCCCCACTCGTTACAATTCTTGGTTTCACCATTTTCTCACTTACTCTCACAATCTCCGGAGCCATGCAACAAGATCAAGGAAGGTGATGAATATGTATGTATATAAACAAGGAAATGGAATAGTTAATTTTCTCTAAGTTGCGTGACCTGAAGAAAATGATCAAGGGGAAGTGGTGTAATATATAGAGGTGAAGTGAAATGGAGAAGGTGCGAAGAAGTAGGGGTGAATTAGAAGTCAAGCAAGGGTTGGATTCTCGTGATATTGGAATGGTTTAATCTGACTGTTGAGATTGAAGGTGCGGGAACACTCTGGAACTTGTGGTGGGGGGGGGGAGGGGGGGGGGGGCTGGTAATTATGTAAGTTGTCATTTGATTGGGGAATTGTTGCATGGAAGGAAGACGCTAGAAGAAACCAGTCCTTCCCCGAAGTTAAGTGGACAACGTAAACTAATGAAATTCTTAATTTTTTAAAATAAAATTCTATATTTCAAAGTTATTAAAATACTGTAATTAAGTCGTAATGGTAATGTCCTATGCATAAATTTCAAAACAAAGGAGTGTATATTTATGTTTCAGGGTGGATTTGGAAAAGTGATTGCACAATTACGAGCGCCATTTTCGTTACAGAATTCTCATTATTAGAACCTGCTTTAGCATCATCGCAACTCATGAGATTGTTCATTTAGAACCATGTACTTAATTAGTTTTACCATATCGTAATCTTAATCAAATTAAACAACTTATCACGTTATAAATTATTGGTCAATACAAGCATTAAAGTGAAGGTAACAAAAGCATTTGCACATATGCAAATTGTAATTGTCACGATCCAAGCTCGTGATAGTATCACGTATTGTTTGCTTTGGGTCTAGGTCCATACGAATTTGTCTTTTGGTCTATGTCACCTCGAGCTCCAAAAACGTGCGCACCATGTAAACTTGTATCGTGCATTATATAGAGCTATTCACTTTTCTCTCACATTCTGATGTAGGATTCGCCTAAAGTGATATGTACACCCTTTCTTTAAAAGTTTGCCAGCTTAGAAGTCTGTCGGTCATGCTCGATTATCCTCGTCAACCCGCCCATGCAGAACAAGCGAAAACTTTGATTATGGTCATTCTCCAACAAATTAAAAGACTTTCTTAATTTCTTTTAGATAATAAAATTAGGCTTCAAAAACCCTCGTTTCTTCTAGGTTTTTCTAGCGGGGTAATATAATATAATGGATCAAGCATGACATTGGTCCAACTGTTACCTCTGCAACCAATGGTTCCATCGTTGAAAGTAACACCAGATTTCTTTCTTTTAAGTACTATGTTAGTTTCTAATATCATTATTAGGTGAAATTTCAATTCAGTGTGCGTTATTACTTACCCATTAACTCAATAGTATTAATTTATGACACATTCTATTTCAAAATTATCCATGCTTTATGTTTTTTATTCTCTAAGGATAGATATAATATTTTGAATATATGCCCCAGAATATATAGTTCATTGTTTTGAACTTATAAATTACCATGCAATAAATCATCAAGAGTTGTGGTGGATGGTAAAATTTTTCTATCCTTAATTAGAGAATTCGAATTCGAGTATAAAAAAGATTCTCGTAGAGAGCGTTTCACCTTTTATGAACCTTACATTGCACAATTTCGTATAAATCGAGGCCTAAAGTAACTACAGGAAGCTGAATATAAAACTCTAGAAAGAAATAAAAGAATACTAGATAATATATATTTGCTCCTTTTAGTTTTCAAAATTAAAAATAACATATTACTCCATATAACATAAACCTCTTTGAAAGTTGAAGAAAAGGTCTGTGGAATATTCGTTTGCTTCATCTCGAGTTTGGAAATATCTACCTTATGCGCATCTATTTCTTTAATAATCGTTTATTTATATTTCCTTTTCTCACATCGAAATACTACCTATCTTCATATAATATCAATGTTATGATATATGCATAACACCATACAAGTGGTTGAGCTGTGCATTCAAATTCTTGCGAATAATGTTGATAGAAATAGGCTTTTTGTAGGGAGAATTAAACATGTTATGGTTCAAAGAAATTTGAATTTTTTAAATTAAGCTACCTACCTAAGTAATTCATGTGCGTAAGCTAAGGAGGGGTTTAAATTTATTGATTTGTAGTTTAGCAAGCTATATGAGTTGCCCGTTCTGAAACATCTGATTAATCCAAAGACACTGGGAATTTTGTTATTGTTCATGTGGTTCAAATTGCATGCATAAAAGATCTTTTGGTCATAAACTGTGTTGATCCAAAAGGTCATCTTTTGTTTTAGAATCAGTTTTTGTGTTTTGAAGCCTTGAAAACCTCCTTTTACCTCTCTTCAATTTACGTGCACAGTCTGGGCGCGAGACCGGAAAGCTTTTGTCTGAAAAATTTAAGAAATAATGATTTTTGGCTTAAAATATGATTTTAGTTGACTTCGGTCAACATTTTGGGTAAACGGACCCGGACCCGTGTTCCTACGGTCCCGGAGGGTCCGTAGAAAAATATGTGACTTGGACGTATGCCCGAAATCGAATTCCGAGGTCCCTAGCCCGAGAATAAATTTTTGAAGAAAATTGTTTGCTGGAAAATATAAGGATTTTTAGAAGTGGAATAGTGTGTGATCTCGTTGGTATCGGGCCCATATTTTGGTTCCGGAGCCCGGTACAGGTTTGATATAATATTTAAGTCGTGTCTGTGAAATTTGGTGAAAAACAGAGGTGATTTGATATAATTCAGACCTTTGGTTGAAAAGTTAGAAATTTTGAACTATCTTGAAAATTTCATGAGTTTTGGTGTTAATTTCATAGTTCTAGATGATAATTTGGCGATTTGATCACGCGAGCAAGTTCATATGATGTTTTTTGACTTGTATGTATGATTGGTTTAGAGACTCGAGAGCTCGGTGAGTTTTGGATAGGCCACGGAGTGAGTTAGGACTTAGAAAAATATGTTGTTGCATCTGGTATTTGTTGCAGGCTCTGATCTCGCAATTGCGAGATCAGGCTTCGCAATTGCAAGCTTCACAGGCATGGCAATTGCGAGGGTTTTATCGCAACTGCGAAGAAGCCCTGGGCCAGCATAGATCGCATTTGCGAACAAACCTTCGCATTTACGAAGTCATCGGGGGGAGGGGGTATAACCTTCGCAATTGCGACCAAAGGTTCGCAATTGCGATAGTAGCAGGCATGCAGCACGTTCGTATTTGCGACGCCTGTCTCGCATTTGCGAGCTTCGCAATTGCGACATCTGCAACTGTTCCAAATGAAACTTAGACGGGATTTTCACCCATTTTTCATTTCTCTCGAACCCTATACCCCCATAGGCGATTTTCCAAAGACCCAAACTTCTCCAATCATAGGTAAGTGATTTCAAACTCATTTCTTTCAATCTATTTCATCTTTTTGGATGATTTCATCTCAAAATCTAGGGTTTTTAATGGGAAATTGGGTGCTCTTGGGTAGAATGTAGGAATTTAAAATTTAGAAATTTGGACCTCAATTTGAGCTCGGATTCCGAGACCAATTGTATATTCGGGCTCGGGGGTGAATGGGTAATCGGGTTTCGGTCCGAACTTCGAGTTTTGACCAAGCGGGCCCGAGATCGATTTTTGACTTTTTGGGAAAAATGTTGGGAAGTCTTTGATTATGCATTGGAATTGGTATCTTTAGCGTTTATTAATGTTATTAAGTTAATTATGGCTAGATACGAGTGAATTGGTGGTGGAATCGAGAGGTAAAGCGGTGATTGAGCTTTGATATACCCGTTGGCTTGAGGTAAGTGTTTGGTCTAACCTTGACTTGAGGGACTAGGGATCCCCGACTTGCTTGCTATGTGAGATATCATGTGTGTGGCGTATAGGTGTGGTGACGAGTACCTATGCATCGCCAAATTACTTGTTTAGCCTGTTTCCTTATCCTGTTTCCCTTTATCTTGCTTTCCTGCCTTAATTGCTACTTGCTCATAAATGTTTCCATGTCTAATTGCTTCGTATTAGCTGTTGTTCTCTTTATTAAATTATTTAATTATTTCATGTTAACTGTTGATGTTCCTGTTGAAGTATTATTTGTTTCGTAGCTTTATTTTATTACCCTGTTGGCTTATATTGATTTATTGGTGCCTTATGGTGCACCTTGGTTGGTCTCGCTGAGTAGTTTTCATTGGTGAAATTTATATAATCGTAGTGATATTCCATTGTGTGGATTGAGGTATAAGTAATGTGGAGGATTTGAGTTAGCTTGTGAAACACTTGTCTTTATTCTTTTGTATTTGGTGCTGATGTATATATTGGGATCGGGTTGCACGCCGCAACAGGAGCAATAAGGGTAAAATGTGATTGTCTGGTGGGATAGGGTTGCACGCCGCAACAAGGAGCAATAAGGGTGGACAGGTAGGATCGGGTTGTGCGCCGCAACTGGAGGAATAAGGGTGATATATGTTGAGGAGTAATAACGGTGGACAGGTGGGATCGGGTTGCACGCTGCAACAAGGAGGAATAAGGGTGAATATTGATACTGTTGCTGTTTATATGATGCGATCGGGATGCGCGCCGCATCAGTTATTGTTATATATTCATATATGTTGAGGTCCATTACTGTGATGTTGAAACACCCTTAAGGATTGGTTATAGCTGAATACTAGTAGAACAACCGGGTTCTGAATTTATTTAATGCCAGTTATTGCTTTATTACATTCTGTATTTCCTCTCTGTTTAGTATAAACTTTTGCAGGTTGTATATGTTGTATGCCCCGTCGTAGCCTCGTTACTACTTCGTCGAGGTTAGGCTCGGCACTTACCAGTACATGGGTTCGGTTGTACTGATACTGCACTCTGCACTTTCTGAGCAGATTTTTGAGCTAGTGGCTGATCGTGAGGTTGGTTGGTATCACTGCTTCCCGGAGACCCAAGGTAGTCCTGCAGGCATCCGCAGGCCCTGGCGTCCCCTTCTATCCTATTTTATTTCTATTTTATCTACTTCCGAGACAAATGTAAACTTTTCGTTTAGACCATTATTTGTAGTATTCGTAGACAATTCGTGAGTTTTGGAATTTTATTATGGTTTTCGTTGTTATTATAAAGATAATTTTTTAAACTGTGTTCTTCCACATTTATTTCCGCTGATTTATTTTTGTTAAGTTTTAATTATTAAAAGATAAATGAAAAAAGTGAGATATTCTGTAACATTGGCTTGCCTAGCGAGTACAATGTTAG